AATCATAAGAATTATAAATCTAAAATTGAAAAAAAGTTACAAAAATATTAAAAAAAAAAATTATATCATACAATATGCAGAAATAATAATTTCTGATATGCAGAAAATGATGCATAAATTATTGGCCAATTATCTTAAAGAGAATACTTTGAATATAAAAACCAAACGATTCTCCTTGATGTATGATATTATCTGGTCATATGGTGAATAATTTTGATTACGATCTGTTATCAGCTTATGGAGCACTTTGATTTATTTCTTTTAATTGACGGCCGTAGGTCGATGATACGATTACCATTTCGAGTCTCGCATCCCGAGGGAACCTGGTTTTAATCGCTTCACCCTATAACGCGGACGATCAACGATATGCTGCGAGCAGAAGGCAAAAAGATGGCTGGCCGTGAATCCGTTGTAACGTAAGGGCCGCGCGCCGCGGTCTGTAATTATCGTCACTGGCCGTGGGAATTGAATTACGAGGTAAATTCGTGGCGTGCCACAACGGTGGCTGTGTTCCGACAAAAGCCACGAAGCCGCCAAACTACATCAAGCGATGGTTTCGATCGAGACTCTATCATGGTTTTATTACAGGCACTTATATAAAGGCGCTGATCATATTATCTTTCGTCTTCTCAGTGTGATTTTAGACTCTTAAAAGAAAACAAATAGAAATAGAATCTCAGAGAGAGCAAATTTGAATTTAATTATATCCAAAGATTCAGATATGTTAATAAAATTTTTATAAGAAGATCATAGATGGCATTAATCGGCAGACAAGTTTTGAATAAGTTTTCCTTCGTCTTCTTGAATATATATAAAGTAAACATAATATAAAATTTAAAATAATATAATTATAATATAATATAAAATTTTTATATTTATATTGCTCTTTTTACAGACGCAAAGAGCGTTTGGCTACATAGCGCAGGATACCACGCGATTGCATCTAGCTTAATTTAAAAGTGTTCGACTTATAAAAATCCAATAACGCACAATGTTGGACGGTCGTAAAATTCAGATAGAAAGCCACGGTTATACCTCGTCATATAACCCATGTATACATCATCCCGCAAGGTCCGATCCGTGAATAGGAAAAAGGAACAAGCCCGCCTTCGGACGAGAAGCGATCTTCCACCCCACGAGGTATTATTTTCGTGACTTCGTCCGTCTCTTGTCCCTCGTCCCAGTCCCACCCGCCCCGGGAAGATGATTCATTCACCCGGCCGAAGAGGAGGACGGCGTGTGCGCAAGTTCGAGGACCTCGAGCAAGCGTTCAAGGGACGACAGCGATTCGACTTGTTGTTAATCCGCGAACAATGAAGGATTCGGTTAGCTCCGGTCGTTCGACACGAGTATCATACGCTGCACCTTTTCACGTTCGATACTTCATCGCGGGGTTAGAGGTGGCGTCGATCTACGACGGGCGATAACTCGCCCGTTTCATCCCGGCTGTTATTTGAGAAAGGTGGTTTGACGCGCGGTCTGATCCTTCCGCGTGATCCTTCGACAGGATCATTTCTCTTTTTGGCGATCCACACGAGTGGCATAGCATGCGATACCACGGAACCTAATATTTACAGCTCCTTAAATGTATTACTAAATGATATTTTGCTAAGAAAAATCCTTAAATTTTTTAAAAATAACTTTTAGAGCCCTGTAGAAAATATGAAAACTTTCGCACTTTCTATTAACTTTCGTAACGTCTTTCTATTAACGTTGTAACGTTTGTAATTTGCCTTTTATGTTCTCGTAAAGAACGTAATTAAATATATTTTCTTTTTCGACACTGCTTTGAGAATATTAATGAATTTTCTGCAACGAAGAAGATTGGCCGTTGTAACTCCTCCTCTTCTATCCAATTTTTAAGAATTATTAATATCGCTCTCCGACTGTTATGGAAGATACTTCGTTAACTAGCGTACCTTCCCACGTAATCGATTCTCTATTTTTATTCGCATGCAAAATATATTATATGCATTTTCAAGATTCCATTAAAAGTACTAATGAATTTTATATGACCGCGGCCAGCCCTGACTCCTCCTCTTTCGCCGTAAGGAAAGGCGGTATGTCGACAAAAAAGATTCACACGAATTACAACAGCGAGTGCTCGATGTTTGACGATCATTTGTAACCGTCTACTAATTATTGCGCAACGCGGTTTCGGCCCTTTCACCGTCACAGCGAGATAAAGATTGTCCATCAAGCGGCCTTTTCGGGCACAGACAAATTAATTTCTTTCATCGTACGCCCTCGCGCGTGGGAGGCGGAGTTGATCTTGGCGCTTGGTTATGCCAATCGGTAGCGCAAACAGAAGTTATACATACAGACGAGTTAACAGCATCAATCAATGCGTGGGAATTTTCTTCTTAACAAACAAGGAAATAAGTTTTAATCTTTCTATATACTGATATATTCTGCAATAAATTTTCTTTTAGTTGAAATACTAATATATAAAAATGTTGAACATTATTTTGATCATTTTTATTTTTCAC